TTGTCTTAATCATTTCACTAATGTATATGTACAAGAGGATTCCAGAAAGTTTATGAAAAATGTAATCAAAAGATAATGTGAATTGTCCATAACTTTTTAACGTCCCTCACATAGCAAAACATCAGTTTTTTGATGATACACAAATTGTGTCAGTCATACTCTGACAATCTTGAAAAAATTAAAACAAGCAAAACTAAACAGACTCCTATATTAAATATAAATCCAAAATAACTTAGTAAACTAGACATATCTACAGGATTTGGAAGACTTTCATGCAAGAGAAATCATTTTTAAAACACACATAAATTTGAGTGGTCAAAATTTCTATTTTGAAAGTGCAAATAGAGATGGCACCCTGTACAGAGAAAGTGCAAGTGCTAAGACGTTGCCCAAGTACCAAATTACAGGGTCTTTCTGCTTCTCTAAAACCTGGGTGAAAACCCCAAGCCAAATAAAACTTCTGTCTCTACCTTACTCAGTCTATGTTACTGTGATATTGGAAACATATGAAGGAGTGAGACATCCTAGAAACAGCTGTGTAAAGAGGTCAATTGCCCTGGAAAGTACCCTGCAGGCCACATATTGAGAAAACTCGGGGGAACCAGGTCCCTGTGGGGAGGGAAGGAGGAACCGACAGCGCCTGTCCCGCATGAACCACATACACAGAGCCCACATTCTCCCTAGAGACTACCCAGTCCCCACTGCACAATCGGGGGAGACGTGGAGCTACTGTCACACAGCTGGCCTGCTATGGCTCCGGGCTGAGAAGTCTCACCCAAGCAGGGAAGGGGCAGGACCTCGGGGGTGCTGGGTGCCGGTAAAACCCCCAACCCACGGGTCTGAGGGGACCGAGGGGAAGCCCTGTGCCAGCGCCAATATGGAGCCCACAGATGCCGGAGGCCTGTGTCCTCCTGGCCTTCGGCTCCGTTTTCCCCTCTCGGTACAACCAGGTCCACACACTCACCATGTCGCGGTTGTCAGCTTCCGAGGTGCCCAGGTCCCCGGTGAGTGAAGATGGAGAGCTGCAGAGGTGGACTTCGCTTGGGAGCCTCCTGGCGGCGGAGCTGTCTCCCAGGAGTTCACTCTGCAGGCAAACTCTGAGAAGATTGTGACGTCCAGGCCCCACGTGCTGATGCACTGTGGACGTCACGTTGCCTGATTGGACAGTTTGCCAGCCTTGAGTGCACGGAACGTCACAAAGCACGGAGCCAATCAGCGTCCCCCATAGCAAGGACCCCTAACTTCAAGTTGTCCTGGATGGGAACAGCGAGAGACAGACCTGGGTTCAGGTCTGAAATGGCCGCCCCTGGGCTCTGCCTCCCCGCGGCTGGAGGGCTCTCACCTCCGAGCTCCTGCTACCCACTGGCCTCGCCCTGGGTCCCCGTCCTTCTCCCTGCGGATGCTGCCTGGAGCTGGCGGTAACCTGTTGCAGTGAGTTACAGTTCTGTTTATCCGCTTCCGGCGCTTTCGTTTTCCTTGTATTTCTGCTCATTCTATTGGGTCGTTTGTATTATTGATTTGAATAACACTTAGATGTAACATAATTTACTCTTTTTTTTTCTTTTCTTCTGTTTTCTACTCTGCCTATTGATCTTTTATATTTTCTAGTTATTTCTTGCTGGCACTTGGTAATCTAATGGATTTTTAAAACATTGATCTTTCCCACAACATTAAATTCATTTATCAGTTTATTTGTTTTTAGATTTATGGATTCTCCCTAAATAAATATCTCCAATATATTGGCAATTTATTGTTAAGAAATTGATCTTTACATCTTATTTTATTTCTTTTTGCTCTCCCCCTCGCCCCCAACTACTCCTCCAATAAGAAGTTGGCACTAGTGGACTTCCTGGTCTAGGTTTACTTCCAGGGTAAAAGCTGTCAATGATTCTGTATTAATCATGGTTTTCGTTGTAGGATCCTTTTAAAAATTTTGATCTGAATAAGAAAGCCATTGCTCTTTTTACTATACTGCAAGCAGTTTTTAAAAATTACATGCTGATTTTTAAATGTTTTTGAACATTAAATTGTCATGTGATTTTCTCCTTGAATTTTTCACCTACCTGGAAAATTTACATGACTTGTTAAGAAATGTTAACCACCTCTTGTATTTTTTATTATATGTGACTTGTTATTCATTACATTTTCATATGCGATTTCATTTATTATACAAATACTAAGGATTTATACATCTGTATATGAAAGAGAGTTTATACTTAATTTATATGAAAGTTCTGGTCAACTTTGCATCATTATCAATGTAATGCTGGCTTTCTAAAGAAATCTGAAAATATGCTTTGCTTATTTATACTTTGATACATCTGAGAAATATAGGTGTTTTTTATTTCTTAAATGTTTGAAATATTTTGTGTTTCTATAACTGAAGTTTGTTTCTCTAACTGTTTTATTGGCTGGTGGCCTTCAAACTGGGATTCAACTTGCTTGTTTTAATTTGGAGTTTTCCTATTTTATACTTCTTATATTGGATTTTAGGAATTTATATTTGTGTTTGTGTTTGGGAATTTGATTTTCAAAGTATAGTGGATTTTTATCTCTAGTCAAGTTTTTATCCCAAGAGTTTTTTTTTTTTTTTTTTTGACATGCAGAGTTAGATGGTGAGAGAGACAGAGAGAAAGGTCTTCCTTCCATTGGTTGACCCCCCAAATGGCCGCTATGGCCAGAGATACACCATTCCAAAGCCAGGAGCCAGGTGCTTCCTCTTGGTCTCCCATATGGGTGCAGGACCCAAGGACTTGGGCCATCCACCCCTGCCTTCCTGGGCTACAGCAGAAAGCTGGACTGGAAGAGTAGCAACCAGGACAGAATCTGGTGCCCCAACCAGGGCTAGAACTCTGGGTACTGGTGCTGCAGGCGGAGGATTAGCCTAGTGGGCTGCAGCGCCGGCCTTACCCCTAAGAGTTTTACAATATTTTTTTCTGATCTTGACAAAGCTCTTTTCTCTGTAAACAATTGTTTTAATACATGAAAATGGACACTAGTGTTACTTTTCCTTGTGTTTCCTCAATTACTTTACTCATAGTTTATTAATTTTGTTAAAATTAAAAAGTATATCCTGGGGCTGATGCTATGGCATAGTTGGTAAAGCCACCACCTGTAGTGCTGGCATCCCATATGGGCCCCAGTTCAAGTCCCAGGTACTCCCCTTCATATCTAGCTCTTTGCTATGGCCTGGGAAAGCAGTAGAAGATGGCCCAAGTCCTTGGGCCCCTGCACCCATGTGAGAGACCTACAAGAAACTCCTGAATTCAGATAAGGGCAGCTCTTGCTGTTGCAGCCCTCTGGAGAGTGAACCAGTAGATGGAAGACCTTTTTCTCTCTCTGCCTCTGCCTCTCTGTAACTCTGCCTTTCAAATATATAAATAAATCTTAAAAATATTTCCAGAAATGAATGAAAAATCTGTCCCGGTTGCTCCTCTTCCAGTCCAGCTCTCTGCTGTGGCCCAGGAAGGCAGTGGAGGGTGGCCCAAGTGCTTGGGCCCTGCACGTGCATGGGAGACCAGGAGGAAGCACCAGGCTCCTGACTTTGAATTGGCTCAGCTTGCCGGCCATGGGGGCCATTTGGGGGTTGAACCAATGGAAGAAAGACCTTTCTCTCTGTCTCTCTCTCTCACTGTCTAACTCTGCCTGTCAAAAAAATAAATCTATGAGTGTGTGTGTGTATATATATACACATATATGCATATATTATTATATTATATAGTTATACAATATATGACATAGTTATATAGTTACATAACATATATAATAATTATATAATTTATAATAACATATAATTATATATTAGAATATATCACATTAGACTATATATTATATATCTTAACTATAATATAATATAATATAATAACTATGTATAATATATAATTATCAGCAAACTCAGTAAGATGTTTAATTTATTTAAAAATTGAATAAATACAAATTAAAGTATGTGTTTTTCATCAGATTCAAAACAATTATTGCAACTGTTGACATTTTGACATATATGAGGCAATGGCCATTGAATAGAATGTGAATTTGCAAAAGAAATTGGTGATGTGTACCAAAAGTCTTAGCAATACAGATTATGTTATTATATACTCTTGTCCCAAATAAGCACTTCTTAAAAAATCTTCTTGGAAAAATAGGTTTCAGAAGGGTCTATGGAAACTTTTTCTTAGGGAAACTTGAGGATAGAAAAGTAAATATCTAACAGTACAGTATTCATTAAATAGTATATGATAAATCCATATGAAGAAACATAGTTTAGCTATAAAATATATTTACATTATTAAGCAAAAAAACCCTTGCAAAGCAGGATGTATTATATATATATATCTCCACTATTTTTCAAAAACATGCTTATTTATTTTTTAAATGTTGATTTATTTATTTGAAAGAGTTACACAGAGAGAGCAGAGGCAGAAAGAAAGAGAGAGAGAGAGGTCTTCCACCCACTGGTTCACTCCCCAATTGGCCGCAATGGCCAGAGCTGCGCCGATCCCAAGCCAGGAGCCAGGAGCTTCCTCTGGGTCTCCCAAGGGGTGCAGCACTTGGGCCATCTTCCACTGCTTTCCCAGGCCATAGCAGAGAGCTGGGTCGGAAGTGCAGCAGCCAGGTCTTGAACTGCTGGCCATATGGGATGCCAGCGTTTCAGGCCAGGGCATTAACCTGCTGCACCACAGCACCAGCCCCCAAAACATGTTTATACAGATACATTTCCTCAAGCCTGTGTTACGTGAGCGAAGCCATCTGTTTGACTCACATAAGCGTACCTTAAAAAGATTGTGGAAATGGAATTAAAAGTTAAATTTATTTTGGTTCAAAACATGTTGAAATTTATATATACATGGGTTATTTAAAAAGTTCATGGAAAACATGTATTATGAGAAATACATATTTCAAATGTTATGCACCAACATAAACTTTATCTTCTACTTCTAGTTCCCATGAAATTTTGAAATCCATCAGAAAAACATGGTGTTCCTGGGAAATATGTGCCATTATTTAATATATTGTAGAGATGCTAAATCTGCCTGAAGTTACTAAGAAAGAGTGTGGTCGTGATTAGACACCTTTTCATTTAACCTCTCTGCGTTGTAACCGATAGTCACATTTAAAGAAACTATTTCCAGGTGTTGTGCAATCTGTGATACCGAAATCAGAGCAGAGTGTCTTCTTGACGCGGCGGCTCACCGGCCAGAGCCCTAGGGCCAGTTGAAGGGGCTGCCCGCCAGCAGCGAGTCCCGGGTGAGCGTCTCGGTGGGCGTCTTGCCCAACAGGCGCAGGAAGTGGAGCTGCGCAATGAGGGGCGCCTGGAGCGCGCGCAAGGCCAGGCGCACTGGGGCTGGGACGGGTACTGGGCGCGCAATACTCCATGAGAGCCACCTGCGCCTGCTCCTGCAGCCTCTCAGCTGCGCGCAGAGGCCGAGAGCGCCATGACATTGAGGCACAGGGCTCCACCGGAGTCCCCCTGCAGGCGGCCCCAGCTCCTCCACCTGCCTCCTGGTCCAGAAGGCCGCGCGCGCCTTGGCCGGCAGTGGCGCCCTGTGCAGGCAGGGGCAGCGCTAAGAGCAGCCGCCGCCACCAGCGTTCTCACCTGGTCCATGCCCAGCGCCGCGCCGGCCGCACCTGACCTGCCGGCCCACAGCTGCACGGAAGCCGTCCGCGCCACGCCAGCACAGCCAGGAGGGCTGCGGAGGAGGCGGCCAGCGCTGCTGGGCAGTGATTACGGGATGCGGCCGCGCTGCAGCGCTGCGGGGCGGCAGGAGGAGAGAGAGAGAAGGGCAGGGAGAAGACTGCCAGAGCGAGGCTCCCTCAGAGTCCCCCCACCCAGCTCCGGGAGAGCCCGGGTCGGGAGGGGGCCTGGGGTCTTCCCCAGGTGGGACTGGGACCTGGGGCCTCGCCCGCAGCAAGCAGGTGAGGTGGGAGGAGGGAAACCGAGGCAGGGAGGGCTGGCTGCCAGGCAGGGCAAATTAAGGAGCCTTAATGAGCCCGCCCACCTGGCCTGATCGAATCCATGAGCTCCAGCCCTAGGCCAGCCTCACGCAGGGCACATTACCAGCCCTGGAGGGGACTAGGGGCTGGAGGTGGGGCTGAGTCCTGCGGGGGTGGGGGTCAGCTGTGCAGTAGGAGTGGTCAAATGGGGCCCAAAAGTGCTGCCCTGGTTATAAGCCCCGCCTGCACCACTCCTCCCCCCCATCCTACCCCAGGGCCTTTGCACCTGCTCACCCCCCCTTCTTCAAACCCCCACCCCCAACTCTCCCACCTCCAGCCCAGGCTGGAGCGTGGGGTTCAAATCCCACCCACAACTCCCTCTTTAACACCAACCTCCGAATTAACAAATCTGCTTTATAGCAGTATTGGCCATGGAGGAAGGGCTACCCTGGTGGCAACTGAAGCCATGGGCTATTTACTGAGGGCCAACTGTATGCAGGGACCCTGGGGCACAACAGTGCACAAGACAAAGAGAGTCCCTGGAGAAGTCATTGGGTTCCAAAGCAAAGTAAGGGGTTGTGAGCTGTGATGGTGGGAGGCCGCGCATGGGGTGGGGGATGCAGCACGTGGCTGTAGGGCAGCCCACCTGAGGGCCGGGCCAGCGGGATTTCAGATCAGCCACGTGAGAAGAGGGGGCACAGGTGAACCCCCCCAAACTGAAGGGAGTGGCTTTTCCAAGGGGCTCTGAGCCGACTTTATCAGCTTCCCTCACAGACGCAGTGAGGGGGGAGGACTTCGAAAGCGCGAGAGACTGGGGTCAGACCCTGGGAAGAACCGGCAGACAGAAAGCAGGTATGGGGTGCGCATTTATCCTGAGGCTGGAACCCCACCCCCACCCCTACCCCGAGACCACTGCCGCCCCCCCCCCCTTGTGTGGAGCCTGGAGAAACTGCAGGGCATTGGCGTTTAGGGCCACGCTGCTTGGACTGTGTCTGCCCTGGGCCAGGCTGGGGCTTCTAGGGAGGGAACAAGAGTGGGGTCCCCATGGGCTCAGGCTGCCCAGCTCCTGCCTTAAGCAAACAGAGGCAGGGGTGGGGGCAACGGAAACCAAATAAATGTGTGTATGTGCGTGTGTTGTTTGTGCGTGTGTGTGCATGTATATGTGTGTCCATGTATGTGTGTGTCTGTGTATGTGTGTCTGTGTATTTCTTCAGGACGCAGTGGCCAGGCCTGGGCAGGGGACCAGGCCCTGGCCACAGCTGTAATTGGATTCCTGCGCCAGTACAGGGTGTAATGGCCCTGGTCTTGTGGTTAGCAGGTGCCAACCCCGGGCCCCACCAGGCCGACTGCAGGGAGGATGGGGGCCGCTCACCCTCCTTCCGCAGGCCTCCCCCACCAGCTGCAGCGGGCTGGGGTGCCATTCACCCACCTACCGCACGCCCCCCCTAGGCTGCAGCGGGGCTGGGGGCCACTCACCCTCCTCCTGCACAACCCCCCCGGAAGCACTTCTTGAGCCGGCAGGACTGGCACTGGTCACGCTGATGTTGGTCCCATCTGACAGTCCCAATTGGACCTGCAGGTGTAGCAGTGTTAGGAGCCGATTGTCTAATGAATATACAGGTGTGTGTTTTTAAAGCCTGATAATTTTAGACATAACTTTCTCCAGGTTTTGTATTTCTATATTTTAGTTTTCATGTATCCATTTGAAAGGCAGAGAGTAATTCTACTGTGTGTGTGTGGCAGGAACCCAATTCCTTGAGCCCTCCTGTGCTGCCTCCCAGCTCTGCATTAGCAGGAAGTTAGAAATGGAAACAACACTCAGAAGCCCTCATTCCATTGTAGCAAGGTTGTCTCAAGGGGATTCTTAACCACTTGGCCAAATGCTCGCTCCTGCTTACTACTTTTTAAACACCACTCTCTTACATTACATAGGCCCAGGATCACAAAAATTACCAATTCCAATGTTGGCAAAGCCAATGAAAGTGGAGCTCTTACAAAAAAAAAAAAAAAAATGAAAGCCTAACGAATTATTTAATTAGAAGTATTAGCTTGAATAAAATAATAGTTTGAGTTTCATGTTTCATCAGGTTAGATAAGTGATGGATTTTCAATATCAATATACACTGAACATAAAAAAGATGTACAAATATTTTCAACCATCAATATTACACATTTGCAAAAGCAGTGGATGCTTGAATAGTTCTACAAAAATGTGTTCCAAAATCATGTGATTAGTGTTTAAATAAAGGAAATGAATGTTTATCTCAATGAACCATTTCCAAAAGGGCAGAAATACAAAATAAAGCCCCTAACATGAACTGGATATGACAATAATTATCTTTGAAAATTCGTTTTAAGAACTGTTTCTGAAAACTATATTTTTTAAAAAGTAAACAATATTTTAAAGGGGAATTACTAACCATGATATAATAAAATATTTTCTGGAATTCTTGATCACAGTTTGAAGCCAGATTTAATTTAAAAAGTTACTAAAGGTGGGAAATAAGGCATACAAGAAAAACTATTTTTAATTTTTAAATGTATCTATATCTTTAAGCATATCAAATGTCAAAATGAGATTATTGAGAAAACACATGGTAATAGAGAATTATTAGATTTATTTCAAAAATTCTTATTGAATTTTTTATAGGCTCTCAAAACTTGATGTAGCAATCTATTTTTTCTGGGACCACTTTTGTTCCTTTGTCCACTCCTGTTAGCATTATTTGGCAAAAGTTGAACGTTGAGGTACACGTGAGAGAATTATTACTCAATTTTCCTGGCCAGTTTTAGGTAAGAAATCAGGAAACAACCACAACCACCACAACAAACACCACTTTCTCAAGAGCATTTGCAGATCAGTTCTGCAGACTTCAAACGTTTTCAGGTTTGGAATGTTTAGACTACCGCTCTCATGCTAAATTCTCTGTGGCTTTCTTTCTATTTCTGAATTGCTTTTTACAAACAGAATGCAGCATTAGGAACTGACAGCAAAATACACTGTTCCCCAGATGGTTCAAATAATAACTATGCCAATTGTTTGTATTTATATTGCAAACATCATATTTTCACCTAAGTATCACTTACCTCAAATGTTAACTGAATATTTTTATAGAATTGTTTTTTAAGATTTATTTTCTTTGAAAGTCAGAGTTATTCTACAAAAAGAAATAGATATCAATACAAGCATAATTTTTATTCCTTCAAGTGATTGATAGAAAAGTATGTTTTGTACCTTCAATTTGAGCAGGATCTCCCCAAAATTAAATTAGATAGATTGTTTACCAGTGTGATAAAATGTATCTCACAAAGAGAAAATATGATACAAAAATATAATTTACTGTATTTCTTGAATACTCATATATGTCTTGCTAGACTAAGTTAGAATAGAATCAATATATTTTTGTCAATCTAATCATTCTGAAACAAAATCGAATAATGAGTAATTTGGAAATGTTTATGAATTAGTTTTCTGTTTATTTCTATGGAGGAAGGAGGAATGATGGTAATGTTTCCAAATTCTTCTGGTTAAATGTGGAACAGTTAAAAAATAACATGATATAGTTGTAAGTAGGTCTTAGGCATCCAATCCATGTGCAACCATGCATGACACAAAATGTATTAAGTTAATATAATCATTGACTTCTCTCTCTCTCTCTCTCTCTCTCTTTTTTTTTTTTTTGACAGGCAGAGTAGACAGTGAAAGAGAGAGAGAGAGAAAGGTCTTCCTTTTTCCGTTGGTTCACCCCCACAATGGCCAGGAGCCAGGTGCTTCTCCTGGTCCCTTAGGTGGGTGCAGGGCCCAAGCACTTGGGCCATCCTCCACTGCCTTCCAGGGCCACAGCAGAGAGCTAGACACTAGGAAGAGGAACAACCAGGACAGAACTGGTGCCCGACTGGGACTAGAACCCAATGTGCCGGTGCTGCAGGTGGAGGATTAGCCTGTTGAGCCACGTCGCCAGCCTATAATCATTGACTGTGAAATAGCGGATGGAAGACCTCTCTCTCTCTCTCTCCCTCCCTCTTTCTCTCTCTCTCCCTCTTCTTCTCTCTCTCTGCCTCTCTGTAACTCTCTGCCTTTCAAATAAATAAATAAATCTTTAAAAATATTTGATGAGAACTGACATTATTACTGCTTACTACTCATAAGGATCACTACATGCATCATGTTACAGCATATGTGCTACATGTGCTTTATTTCTAATACACTTTCCCCTCACGTTGTGAACATTATTTCTATGTTATAAATGAGACAATTGAGGTAAAGTTTACATGAACATGACACAGATGGAAACTCTAACCCCAGGATTTAATCCATCAGCAGGATTTAAACACCTATGTCTTTATCTGGCTCCAGAATTGGGGTTTGGTTTTTTTTTATTTGAATTCTATCTCAAACTCCTGTTTTTAGAGCATTCAGGATAAGAAGGTAAAGTACAGGATTGTGAAATGTGTGAGCACCATCCATATGGTGACTCTCATTCATGTAATTCCTCCACTTGCTGTGAATGGGTTGGTAAATGGGGCGCTATTTTCCTGCCCTGTACTTTAGGTAATTACACTACTCAGCCTAATCACCGTGTGAGCTTGACAGTGCAGGTTGCATTAGATCTGTTGCACATGAGCTGGGTACTACTCTTGGCTTCACTTCTAAATTTTTGTGTGAATTTGGGAAAACTACGCTTTTCTCTGTCTCAGTATTCATATTTCTGATATTGGAATAATGAGGCTTTCAAGATTCTCCATAGGGATATTTTCTCCATTGACCATTCCAGATTGGGAAAAAAAAAAAAAAACACGTAAGTCATCATCATAATCACTGTCACCAAGACTGAAATGTTCATGCAAAATAATCTTGACAGGAAACAAAAAATGAGAGGAATAGAGTTATTGAAATCCATGCTGATGTTCTTCTCTAGGAGAGGAGGTACAGTAATTCTGTAATACCAGCATCCATCTGTCATGTGAAATTTCACGTAAGAAAATTCTAAGAAGAAGGTGCGGATTTTAGGAATACCACTTTGTATTTAAAAGAAAGTATGTCCGTTGGTTTTCTTTCTCACCATATGACATTTTACCATTTTATTTTTAAAAATTATTTTGTTTTTATTCATTTGAAAGGCAGAATGAGACAGTGAGAGTGAAAGAGATTATCTTCCATCTGTTGGTTCACTCCCCATAACCACAGGAGCCAGGAGTGGGCCATACCATTGTCAAGAGCCAAGAACTCCACCTCTGTCTCCCACCTGGGTGGTAGGGACCCAAGTAATTCATCTATCAACTGATGCCTCCCAGGGTGAGCATTAGCAGGAAGTTGTATAGGAAGTGGAGGTGTTACTGGAATCCAGACACTTCACTACATGGGCATCCCAAACAATGGCTTAACAGGTGCAGCACAACAAATGACTTCCATTTCAATTTTTAAAATAGACATCATAGTGGAAAATAAGAGCCACATACCTATAAATATTAATACACATTTACACATAAATATATGCATATACATTTATATACACATATTTATATGGGGAAAACCTTTGATGATTTTATAGTAATTGTAATGCCTTATATACTATTTTCTTTGAGAGTTACACTGCATATTTGATACCAAAATTCCACAAAGTTAGTAATGGAACAAAAAGGCAACAGATACATAATGGACACATCTTATAGAAAATGGAAGGACAAGTACAGAACTCCAAAAGTCAACACATTTACATTTCCATTCAAATATACTAAGAAGATTGGAGTGAGTTGAAATAAGAGGAAAATTTGGAGGAGACATGTTTCTTTATCTTCATCTCAAGATGAGCAAACACAATCTGAAAAAATAATTCCAGATTATAAATATTTCTATTAAAATAATGACATCATGGTAGATTTATACATAAAAATTTTTATAGTTCAAGTTAGTATGACTATTAATCCAGCTTCATTGACTGGAATGAAAAAAAATATTTTTCTACTTTTGATGGCAGCTTAAGTATGAAGTGTCTTCAAACTGTTTAGGGAAAGAGTGTGTTTTGAAAAAAATTATTCACTGTGTTCAAAACTTTTTGCACCAAGATAAACTTTTAATTTTGTTTTCCACAAACTTTTTGAAATTCCTTTGTATATTCATCCAAATGCCTAAGACTTCAGCTTTTCAAAATAAGTATTCTAATGATTTTTAGTGAAAATATACAAGCATGGTACATACAGTATGCTGAATTTACAAACCATATAAGCTATATAGAATGAAAAGAATCCATGTTTTCTTGATGACTTGTGATCTCTATTTATTCATCCATTCACAGGTTCTAAGATGTTACTTAATGTCCAGGTACCAGTACTGTGTAGAACCATGATGAGAGGGATTGAGTGAGGAATGCACAGAAAATAAAATGCAGACCTTGCCCTTAAGGCATTCCCAATGAATAAATGGGAGGCTTGTAAACAACAGATGGTTGTTGGCAATGCATGAGGCTTTCATCAGTGATGAGAATTGTAAAAGGTTAGCTCCATACTCATATTCTACAGAATGTTCCTAAACCATTCACTGTTCTGTGAGTGTCATTAAAAGTCCCCCATCCAAGTGGTGGCCTAAAACTCTATACTGTTGAGCTGTCACATGACTGTGACCACAGAGATTTTCCCTCTGAGAATCACACATCCTTGCCATTGTTAGCATCCTGTGTGCCTTCCACATTTTTTTTACTCCAGTAACCTAGGCTAGAACCTTGGGTTCTAGAAAGTTGACTTACCAAATATATTACATACAGCAAAGCAAATAGACTAT